TAAATATGCATAATGTATTATACATAAATCACACCTCCCCCCTCCCCCATGTCCCTCCACACAGGCTCACACGCCAGTCCCTCTGGCACCAGCTGCACAGACAACAGCGAGCACTGCTCCTACTGGGCCGGCATAGGGGAGTGCACCAGGAACGCTGCTTACATGACGGGAAACTGTCGAAGTTCCTGTGGCCTGTGCTGAGCAGTTTGGAGTTCGAAACTTATGTTTTGTTTGGTATTGGTTTTGTTCGTTCGTTTGTTTGTTTGTTTGTTTGTTCGATTGTTTTTGTTTTATCGTTTGTTTGTTTTTAACAGAAAAGAACGTCGACAAGGAGTTTGAGTTTTAACCTTTTGTTTTGTTCGTTTCTTTTTTTGTTTGCTTGTTTTTTTTTCCACACGACGCCTTGTATACTATGTATGTGGAAAATGTCACTCTGAGTCCAGACAATATCGATTGAAAAAAGGACAGACAAATAAAGTCGGGCAGTTGTTCAGATGTTCTAAGCCCAAAAGTTTGAATGATTTATTTAAATTGCATTTTCTTAAACACCAGGATAATACAGGTGCTCGAGGATTTCATTTTTCTAAATTCCAATTCAAAACTAAAGTTGTAAAAGTGAAATCAGAGAAAAGAATCATAATCTGCTACAATTGGTAACAGAATAAAACTATATTTCCTCTCTCTTGAAAAAATTCTTTCTAAGCTAAGAACAGTTTGAGAATTTTTCTCAACGGTAGACATTACGTTGAATAAAGAACCCTGGCAGAAACGTCTTCCTCTTGAGTACAGGATGTTCCTATGTGCCTGGTTATTGGTGTGGTCATTGACAAAGAAAGGTATCTGGCGTCTGTGGTGTAGTGGTTAGGCCCTTCGCCCTCACACACAGGAGACCCGTTTCGATTCCCAAAGAGAAGTTTTTTAAAGAAGTATCTGCCTTTCTTCTTCGGTGTTGTATCCCCTTCAAACCGGGTTGACCCTGAAAGACAGGATCAGAAGCCTGCTTGCTGAGTTATGGTTTAAATTGGGTCGGAGAGGACGTAACATTATCGACATTAATTAAACAACAAAAAATGAATGCTACCAATTCCCTATCGCTTTGCTAATCTTGGAAAATAGCTTATATTATGTGTTGTAACATTATTTTGACTCTTATTACTTGTTAATAATAGAAATGCAAATACTCTGTATTCTTTTGTACTATTTGACCAAATCGTTGTAAAGTAAGCGACGATTACTTTTTCTGTGAAGGCAGATGCTTGTAAAACAGTTTCAATAAAAATCTACCTCCAACTTTAACCCTGATTGTTAGATTACAACTTGCTTTGATCTTGTGTTCATTCATGTTTTAGTCAGGTAGCGAAAGAAATGCCCGATCGAATAGGCTAACTCTCACAAGGTCACCTTAGCAGAGACTGCCCACCATTTCGGAACGTTACGGTGACATTAGAGATGGTTCCGGTAGATAAGGGGATTGACGGTACCCACGTTCCTTGTAACTCTTTGGAGCAGAGAAAGATAGGATTAACGCCAATATTACATATTAACCACCAAACCATATCATCACTCACCTCTACCGTAATTTCTAAAATCATCATTGCTGTCAGATCGTTGATATACATCTGTACCCCTTGAATCTTAATCTGCAACAGTTACATATAATAACAAATATACGTGATTTATACACTGTTAATTGGACACTATCATAAGCACAAAACTTCTTTCTTCTAATCAGGTGGCGTCAATCTCATATAAATGGGCATGGGACACAAAAGGTAGCGAAAGAAAGCATTTTATTATAGTTCATAAACTCATGGGTTGGACTGCACATAAAAGAAATCTTGTACACCTTACAGTACACTCTTTAGAGACGACACGACACAGATGATGTGCCTTCAAAATTACTTTTTTTAAAATGTGGTTGTGCCTGTTCGAGCAACACAGTGAAAAGGCCAAACAAATTTTTGCAACATGTTTTCCAACACCAAAGGTTAAAAATGTGCGAGAAATTGGGTCAACATGCTAAGACTAAAGACGTTTTTCTCCAAACTTTGTTTTTGTACCCTGTGTTACAAAATGTGGTATATCTTTAAAACTACTCAAGATTTAAAAACAGCAACTAAAACTCACCGTTACAAACATAAGCCATCATTTTAACATCCAAAAATCTGTGACAGCTGGAACCTTTCCCCAGACACACACACACAAAAGATTTAGGTGTTTTTTTTCTCTTTTACCTCCCAGCAAGGCACTTGTATTATTCAGGACACGTATAACGGTTTTCTTAGAAAATTTTGAACATTCTCAACCATCCTGGCTTGGTTTTTTTGGAGACTGCTATTCCACGGTCCTACCTCGGGTTGAATCCGGCTTAAAATTAATTCTTTCGTAATAATACTATTCAACTTTTCCTTAAGGCGCATCAGTGATGTAATGTAGCGTTTAGCCGGTTCGCCACCGCACGCTGAAGACGTAAGTTCGATTGCCTTGCGGGGAGAATGTTTTGTCAACTATCTTGATCCTACTGTTGCAATGTTGTATCCCTCTCAGTCCAGGTCGAAGACAGCCTCCTAAGTAATCTAAAGTGTGTTGATGGGAGCGTAAAACACCTAAATCGTCAGGGGATCAGGGAGTTAGAATTACACGTAGATCAAGAATGCCCTACATATACTGTTAAAACATCTATCGTCCTGATCTCTCCTCCTCCTTCTTTTCTTTATATGTTATGCACTAGTAACATCCCTATTCTTTGGCGTTAAGGTGACCAAATTGTGTTGCAAATGCCGTAAAATATTTAAACTAAACAAAACTAGGCTGCCACATTTGTGGATTCGAACCTAGGTCATCATCGGCATAGCCTAGTTGATAAAAACTGAGTTCGTGGCTCGCCCAAGCCAATAATGTTTCTGGGTATTCTTGGAGCTTCTAAGGTAATAATATAATAATGCAATATAATATGTAGATTGGAAAGCGCATAAAGCTTGCTTTTGACATTACTCTAAACAAATGTTAAGTTTTACTATTCTCTCCCTTTAATTCTTCCTGTTTTGTCAGTTTTTCTCAAATCATAACAACATACACGTGTCCTTACAATAACCAGATTCTCAGAAATATATTAAGCACAAAGTAATTAGAAGCAGCACATTGTATTAAAATTTAGGGAAGCAACCGACCTGAGGTGTACCTCTATGTCATGAAAAAGTAGTAAGATGTATTGTACTAAGTTTTCAGGAATATAATAATGGGAATGCACATTGCATTGTTCTCTAATCAGGAAAAGACCATTCGCTACACTAAAATTACAAAGTTATATCTGCTCTGCACCTAGTTTTGAGAAATTGCACGTTAGAAAGTTTGAGTTTCACAAGAAATCTTTGAATATCTTGATAACGACTTCGAATAATCTTACGATTTTGATAGAGCAAAACATTTGGTTTTTAACTTCTTGGTTTTAGTAACTCAAAACGACCAAAAATGTCAGATAAAACTTTGTAATTCTAAGGTAGCGAAATGTAATTTCTGAAACACTTGAATAGTTATAAATGCCTTGAACATCTAGCTCTCATGGGCAAAGAATGAAGAAAAAATTGAAGGCAAACAAAGCTTAAACAGATGGGTGACGAGCAGAGATCAGGATAGTGTGGCATTTTTCTTTTTAGAACATCCGAGTGAAGAAGTAAATGGAGAACCATGATTGCTGATGTCTGTGGTAGATCTGGCACTTGATGATGATTGTACTTCATTTACTGGAACCGTAAAAATATAGTGATCTACATTTTATACAGGACATAATGCAGATGTAGTGTGTTACTTTTTTAGTTAAAAGTTAATGCTGTGTAACGTTATGAAGTTTACAGCAAGCTATTTTGAATTAAGTGTATTATATTAAATGCTGTAGGAGGGGTCTCCAAACCTTAACGCGAAATCCTTAAACAATAAACGCTGGGCACACGAATAAGCTAACAACAAATTTTAAAGAAAAATTCTTTAAAAATTAAAGCTGTGCATAAAATGTTAACCAACAACACGCTTAAAACAAATATTCTTTAAAGAAAGAGAGCCTTGTATAAAAAAACACAGTAACAAAACAAAAGCAAAAAGAAAAGAAAAACACCAACAACAATAACCACAATAATTATATCATGTACACGCCATCAAATACATGCTGGACAGGCCCGGACAAAGTGACGTCACCAAACACCAGAAACGAACTCTGTTCTGAAGTCAGTCTCGCGTCTTGCTTGACCACAAAGCTGACGTTGAGGATACCACCTGGCATTCTGACGTCCGTGCTGACCCTCTGACCAGCCACGTCACCGTGGAACGGCGTCCTCAGAGCGGAGGGAGGTGAAACAAGACCAGAAAAGCTTCTCACGAAATCCACAATGGCAATCCCAACAGCTCCCGTCCCACAGGCCAGCGTCTCGTCCTCCACACCTCGCTCGTATGTCCGGGCGCTCAGAGTTCTTTGGGGTTCGTCGGTCTTTTCGATACGTCCAGCACGTCTTTGATGGTTGTCGGTCTTTTCGATACGTCCAGCACGTCTTTGATGGTTGTCGGTCTTTACGCTAAACCCCTCATGGCTTTGGTGGCTGTCGTTCGTTTCGATACACCCTTCACGTCTAAAGGATTCCTCTTTCTTCTTGATACATCCTTCCCCTCTTTGAGGTTCGTTAATCTGCTTGAAACACGCTTCATGCCTTTGGGATTCGTCTTTCTTCCCAATATATCTTTCTTGTTTTTGAAGATCGTCTTTCTTCTCGATACTTGCTTCACTCCGTTGGGGTTCCACTTTCTTTTCGACACACCCTTCGTGAGTTTGGAGTTCGTCGGTATACCCTATACATTCTTCTAGTCTGTTCAGGTTTTTGATTTTACAACTCAAAGTTTCGAGACGATCAATCTTGGCTTGTTTTATTGTCGAGTCGACTCTTGAGCGTGATGGGGGCATGTCTTTTGTTGAAACAATATTATTGTCCATGAACGTGACAAAGTTAATGTTGCATCCACCATCTTTTCCATAGAAGTTGTATCTCTTGTCCCTTCCTCTGGCGATCACATCGCAGTCATCTAGCTTTCCCTCCACAAATATCACGTGATGTGGAGATCCTGTATCCACAAAATATTCTTCGTCGTTATATCGTTTGACCTTATCCACAGGGATGTCTGCAAAACCTATAGAATACATCCCACGGCCTCCAACACTATCTATGCCACTAATGAACGCACCAAAGTAAACGCCATCGTACGCTTCAAACGAAATGTTTTCATCGTCTTCAAATTTCACGCTTATATACCTGGCGTACGCAAGAGCGCATCGACAACCATTCCCACATAAACTGCTTTCGTTGCCATTTGAATTATAGTACAGCAGTCTGAAATCTGCCACTTCGCTTTTTTGGATTTCAAGGATCCCGTCTGCGCCGATGCCAAAACGCCTGTGACATAGCTGTGACCTCTGCTCCGGGGTCAAGATTATGTCGTTCACTCGGTTGTCAAAGACGATGAAGTCATTTCCAGCCCCGTGGTATTTGGAGAAGTGCAGCAGCATTTTTGATGATCAATAACTGCGAACAGACAGAGATATTGAAATGAGTGGTTGGCTGGTTTGCTTCTTCCCTACCAAATATTATCCAACCCTTTCATGGATCAAGGAGAGGAGGGGGCCAGCTATACCACTGTACCGCTTGTTATGATACCTATAATATTCTCCATCCATATTTGTTACAAATGTGTCTTAATCTTGCCTCTATGGTATATCAATCTCTAGTATTCAACACTTATAATATATGAGATATTTAAGTTGCAATTAATGCTGTTATAGTCTCACAAAAAAGACTAACACACAAATATCACGCGATGTGGAGAGCCTGTATCCACAAAAGTTGGAGTTGTGATCTTAGATCACGGAGAAGGACGTGAGAGACAGATTGGTGATCCTCTTATTAAAAGTCTTATGTCGTCAAACCTGCAGAAACGACAGGGGTGTGTTACAGTACTTTGTAAGACCTTCAAAACACGTCCTCATGCACGCACACACGCACACACACACACACACACACACACACACACACACACACACACACACACACACACACAAAAGGTTTTTTGTCAGCTTAACAATTGATGAAAAATAGATTCTTCCGAAATTTGAATTGAAAGTTGTTTTTTTTAAGTCACAGTTTCACTTCGATTTAGCAACTAAAAATTTTGACCCCAAAGTTGAAAAAAAAGGCATTTTGTCAGCTGCCGCCAGCTCTAACTTTCTCATCATAACCATACTCTTCACCTAAAACATG